TATGTATGTATGTATGTATGTATGTATGTATGTATGTATGTATGTAGATAGATAGATAGATAGATAGATAGATAGATAAGATATAGATATAGATATAGATATAGATAGATAGATATGTTTTTTTTATTTGTGCTGATAAATAAATAAAGGGAGACTAGTATAGATCTATTTCAAGCTATTTAGCTCTCATCAGCTAGCCATACCCTTACTGGGATTTGAACCTGGGCTATATTGCACACTAGGCATACTAGGCAGAGATCTTAGCCATTAGGGCCCAGGCTCTTATCCTGTTATCAGCGAAGCCAGGGTGGAAGGTATCTATTAGATTTTATATATATATATACCTACCTACCTATCTATTTCTCTCTCTCTCTTTCTCTCTCTCTCTATCCTTTATCTATCTAACTACCTAACTACTCTCTCTCCCTACCTACAGAACCTATTGTATTTCTCTCTCTCTCTCTCTCTCCGCCCTCCCTCCCTCCCTCCCTCCCTCCATCTACCTACTTACTTTTTTTAAATTTGCCTCTTCAAAACCTTGGTGTGTCTTATACTCTGGTGTGTCTTATACTCCAAAAAATGTGGTAAGTGATCTGCATTCATTTAACGATTCCCCCCCCCCAGTTGTTAAATAAATCACTTAACAGTTAAGTTAATCAGTTGATCGTTAAGCTTCCCCCATTGAGTTTGCTTATCAGAAGCCCTCTGGGAAGGTTACATATGGTGATCACATTACTCCAGGACAATGTAACTGACATAAATACATGCCAGTTGCCAAGCACCCATGTTTTGATCATGCAAGCATGGGGATGCTGCAACAACGATAAATGTGGGGGGTGCTGTTGTAAGTTCAAACAGTCACTAAATGAATAGCTGTAAATCAAGGCAGGCCTGTAATTAGGAAGTAGCATTTAGATTGTAATGATAAATGAAAATACTATACAGGATATTTTACTGCATACCTGGTGTGCTACCTCATGAGCAACAACTTGGCAAATCTGCATTTTAGATATATAATCCTCTGGCTCATTCAATAAGGATGTTTCATGGAAAGTCATTAGTCCCCAGTTTTCCATTGCACCATGATCCATAAGAGGTACCGCAACCAAATCTAATGGAATTTTAATAAAACGAATCACTTTAACAATTATTTTAGTGCATGCACTCAAAAACCCAATTGGGCTTATTATACAGAGAGGTCTTATTTTTGGGAAAACAGGGTATTTCAAATATGTTTATTTTATTATCTCTGGCCAGATTCCCATATTATGCTAAGTGCGTATGAGTGAGTTGTTCAACAATGTCTAGAGGGTTCATCAGACATAGAGATAAACCACAAAGAAAGATTTATAAACCACAATGCTAGGTTCACACACATAGTCACATTAAGAATTACACAGGAACTTAGACGAATGTCTTACATGCATTCACACAAGAAATTACTGATTCTCTCAACAGTGTTTCAACCCAAAACCTCCCCAGGCCTTTTCAGGGTTGCCAAAGATTCAATCTGGGATTGAAACTTACATATCCATAAAGTATATACAGTATATAAAGTATATAAAGCTCTACATCTGATAATAGAGAATTATTCGTTCATGACAATCTAAAATGACCCCTGTTGAATGAATACAGGGAATACCAAATTCAGAATCTTCTCATAGTACAAATTCAGGCAGTAAATCTATGGGAAGAAATACAGAGCTGACTTTATGGATAAGAAAAGAGAAGAGCCGTGGTGGTGCAGTGGCTAGAATGCAGGATTGCAGGCTAACTCTGCCCATTGCCAGGAGTCTGGTCCTGACTGGCTCAAAGTTGACTTAGCCTTCCATCCTTCCAAGGTCAGTAAAATGAGGATCCAAACTGTTGAGGGCAATATGCTGACATGTTAAACTGCTTAGAGAGTGCTGCAAAGCACAATGGAGCAATATATATAAGTCTAAGTGCTATTGCTACTGCTAAGTGCTAATTAGCAAACCATTAAGAGGCAACTTTCAAAAAGTTTTACAGCTCTAAGAAACAGGAAAGCATGAGAAAGACACCAAAAATAATGCCTTGATTTTGTTTTGTATAAAATGGGACAAACTTACAAACTTCTTTTATTCTACCTTACTAGATTCCTGAAATCCTGTTGTGTATTTTTCTTGACGTAGCTTATCTCAAAGGGCTGATATTATAAACAATATATAGCACCTACAAGAAGCTTCATGTAATAATTTGATATGTATTATCATGAGTTTCCGTAACCCCCTAAAGACATCGACAACATGAATCCCCCCCAAAATGGGCAATTTGTTTGTTTGCTTGCTTGCTTGCTTGCTTGTTTGCTTGCTTGTTTTATTTATAACCCAACCCCAAAGGATTCTGGACAGTTTGCAATATCGAACAAAAACCGAACAAAATATTCCCTTAATAATAAATAACATCCAAAGCAGTATTTTTAAAATTCCCAAATAAAGTCTAAGAAAGGTGTTAACATTCAGTCAGCTGGAACTAAACTGCATTGAAATGTAACAGTAATTGTAGCAAAATGAGAGCTGCATGGAGGCTGGCTGGGAAATTCTGGAAGTTAAAAGTCCATGCATCTTAAAATTGCCAACATTGGAAACCCTGGATAAGAGTACAGTATTCCATGAAATGGAGACAACTACAGGAAGGCCTGGAATTTCACCCCCATCTTTCATCAGGGACTTTCTTGATGAGCAGAACTATAGTTGCTGCTCCATCTGGCCATCTTTTAAACATTCTGATAATCCAGAAATATAAAACTCCCACAAATTTGGTGATACCCTATAGGTCAGCAGTCTCCAACCTTTCTGGTTCAGTGGAGTGGTAGAGGTGTGGGGGGTGGGGATGGTTTCGCACATGTACCGCTTTCACAAATGCAGCTAATGTATGCACTAGCCCACCCACCACTTCTACAGCCCAGTTCCCAACAGGCTGCACCCTGGAAATGAGCCACGGACTGGGGTTGGGGACAATTGTCAAAGACAATTGCCATAGACAATTGTGTACTGTCTGTTTGGAAAAAAAAGTATGATCTATTGTAAATCATTCTAGCCATTTTTTAAACAGAAAAGCAAGGTAATAAATATTCCAAATACAATATAATAAATATATGATATGCATCAAAATGTTAATTGTCAAAGAGAACCAATGACTTTCTGAACAATAGTAATGCAGACTTTTAATAGTTACATTACAAATTATTAAACTAAGACCAGAAATAAGATACAACAGTATTTTGAAGCTACTGTGTTTGCAAGTCATAATAGTCTTTTAAAACATTAACAAGCTAGCATACCTGTTTTTGAAAGAGGATAACTGATGTTTAGTAAGTCTTCCATATATGAAAATATTGGCCCTGTGATATTTAAAGCATAATTAGCCAATCCTTTTTTAATTGAATCCTTCCGAGCCCAAATACGTATCTATTAGAAAAAACGGAAGTATTATTTCAGATAGTCAGAATCAAGTCCATAATTAGCTCATCTGTAGTGTATCTGTCTGTTTTATAGTGTACACATGTCTTCTAATACCTTTTAGCTTTGTCATACAGTCAGCCATATCTTTAGAATGGATTTAGCATTTTTATCAACCTATTATTATTATTTGGTTAGCATTGCAGTTTCCTTAACTATTGTGAGGTACCCAGAGTTGTTGGGAGTCAGAAAGCATGCAAATTTGATAAATATACAAATGTAAACGAATAAAGACAACCGTTGATAGGTTTCACATAACATAGGAAGTTACATATTAAGGTTTGCAAACCACAATAGCTGACTTCATGCAGTATTTAATTTAAAATTAGGATACTCAATTTTAGCTTGAACGATATGTAGCTGATTATGTCGACTGTGATTTTATGTTGCTCAATTGCAAAAAAGTTCTTAGTGGCTCACAAATAATACAAAAATAATAACAAGGAAATTTAAATAAAATATCCCCAAATCAGTAACAACTATTACTGCCTTCTACAGAGAGATTTACTAAACTATCAAACCCCAAAGCATTCTGGAACAATCAGGCCTTAGTGGTTTTCCTGAATGCCAATTAGTTTGGAGCTTACCTTCACTCTTCCAAAGAAGAGGACAGCAACAGAAAAGGTATGACCTCATGGTCCTTGGTGATGGCAACCCCACATCGATGGGGTTCAAAAAGTGCTCTTTCCACTAGACTTTATTGCATAGAAAGAAACTCCTAGGAGACAGCAGTCTTGCAAGTATATACAGTAGGTCTCAAACAATGTAGGGCTTTTAAGATAAGCTCTGATGCTGCTTGAATTGCACTGGAAACTAAATGACAACCAATGGGATGATGGTCTCATTCAGCGAAACCAAGAGGCATTTCTAATTAACTACTCAGGCTGTTCCATTTGGACCAACTACAGCTTCTAACAGATTCTTCAAACACAATCTCAAGTATAGCAAATTGCAGTAGCCCAACTGAATTGTGACTAAGGCATAAGTAATTATATTTACTGAATGAACTATAAGAAAGTGGGTTCAGCCCAGAGGTGGGTTCCTACCGGTTCAGACCGGTTTGGCCGAACCGGTAGTAACTTGGCAGCCTGGGTCACTGGAACTGGCAGCAACCCAGGCCTGTCACATCCCTGAACTGGTTTTCCCATTGGCGCCATAGGCACCGCCATCTTGTTTTTTTCTTCTGCGCATGTATCAAGCAAATATCAAGTGTGCGTGTGTGCATGCGCAAGGTGCACCCCTGAGCAAACCGGCAGTAGTGGCTGCCAGCCAACTCTCTGAACCATAAAGACCTTTTATAAAGGGTTGAAATACAACAACAGTTCTTCATGGTGTAAGGCCTGGTGTAAGGCCTACTTCAACTGTTTTTCCCACGTGGTACAATCAAATGAGATAGGTGAACTGCAAGTGCCACTCATTAAACTGAGTCATCTTACAGGACCCAGGAAGTGCACTTTTTCTTTATAAAACTGTAAAAACATGATCCTGGAGATAGGGCAATTGTATCAAACTAAATGTTAGTTTAACACAAAGTATGATTCTAGTTTAAGCATAAGTAAAAATCAAGTTTGCATCCAATCATATTTAAACTGGCAAGACAACCCTGAATTAATCATTAAGAAAAATAAGCACTTGCTCAGAGCACCAAGGGAAGGGGAGGCATTACAATTTTTCCTCTGGCTATGATATTATTAACTCTTTCACTGTCACATTCAAGTTCAGTTTTTAAAAAATGTACTGGTAATTGTCCTTATCTGCTGTGTGCAACCTTAATCTGCATTGTTATAAAATATTTCCTTCACCCAGGGAATAAAGAAAAGTTTAACCACTTGTTTTGAAGGTGTTGTCTGATCATACATTTGTTTCCATCTCTTGGCTTAAAGGGGCAACATTGTTGAGCCACTGGATTAGGGCATCATCTGGTCTTAATCTGAGACATGGCTGAGCCCAAAGCAAACATGCAAATTTGTTTATCACAGGTAAACTATTCAGAATTCTATCACTCAAGTGAAACTTTTCTAGGCATCAAAGTAATTGCTGTAAATAAAGATGAATTTAGAGCAGGGGTGGGCAACTATGGCAATTTTACAATCTGTGGACTTTTGGCTGGTTTAGGAATTCTGGGAGTTGAAATCCACAGGTCATGAAGCTGCCATAGTTACCAAACCCCAATTAGGGGCTGGGGCTTTGTTTTACAACATCTTATCTACCTATTCATTTATTATAATGTTTTGTATAAAAGGGAAATCTCAGGAATACTTTCGTGTATACATTTGCATGGGGGTGTAACAAAGGCAACAGTAAAAATAATGGCTTTCTGTCTGGATGGTCTCTTGTGATGAGCCGATAGACAGAGAAAGGAAGCAGTATGCTTCCTCCCATATTTGGGCATATCAGGGATTGTGACACAAAACACATACCTATTTTCCTGGCCCAGCTGATAAAGGAGGAGATCACCCATGGCTGAGTGGCTAACACAACTGCCTAATATGTAATACAGCACAGGTTCAAATCCCAGTAAGGGTATGGCTAGCTGATGAGAGCTAAATAGCTTGAAATAGATCTATACTAGTCTCCCTTTATTTATTTATCAGCACAAAATGCAACACAAAGGTAACAAAGGCAACAGTAAAAATAATGGCTTTCTGTCTGGATGGTCTCTTGTGACGAGCCAATAGACATACCAGGGGTTGTGACACAAAACACACACACACACACACACACAAACATACACATGCACACACACACACACACACACACACACACACACTAATGTTACTAATCCATTAAATTTAGGAATGTCTGCTGTAACACAAAGCCTAATCACAAATGCAAATACACACTGATAGTATAATGTAATTTCAAGAACTTTATTTACCTGTTTGCCTCTTTCAGTTGTGGTGACATAATCAAAATTACAGACCACAAAAGCAGTGATATACGTAGACATTTTCAGGGTTGTTTCAAATGTTGTGATAGTCCAGTTAATTGGTGTCGTTTCATTCATCAAAGCACTCAGTGCACTGTCATTCACATCTTTATACTCAAATACATCTATTTAAAAATAAAGAAGCAATCCAAATATACGTTAGCTTTTTGTTTTGGTACCTTCCAGTCACTTTTTGATTTTGGTGATTGCCTGCATAAGTCCCCAACTACTTTGCAAGGTTTTTCGGAAATGGTTTACCATTGCCTTCTTCTCAGGGCTGAAAAAAAGTAACTCACCCAAAGTTAGCCAGCTGGTTGTACATCTAGAATTTGTCTTTTAGTTTAGAATCTGATGTCTTAATCTTTACGCCAAAGTGATTCTTATGTTAGCTACATACCATACATAAAATACTGTACTTCATAACTAAATGGTGTAGTTTATTACTTTCCATATACTTCATATTACATTGCAGAATTGAGGAATCCATAGCCCATGTCAGGTCTCCACTAACAATTATAGTTATCAAGTTCAGCAACAGAGATTTTCAAATGTTATGGGAGGGGGCAAATAAAACATCATCTTTTTAAAATAAAGTCAGTCAAAAGTAATGAGCTAAGCCTGAAATACCTTAAAATTTCAAAAGTCCTGTAATGCAACTACAAAACTGGTTTGCTTCTATCATACTGCATATTGATGGGAAAGATAGGCACAATATATTTGCTTCTACCAATAATACATCAATATTCTTTTTTTCAGAGCAGAGAAGATTTAAAATTGAAATCCACTCCTTAGGATAATTCATAGCCTCTTCAAACTCTGCCATGCAAATCATAATCTCCTTCATAAACACATTTCTCCAAGATAGCCACTGTGATATAAAGGTTACATAGGTAGTAACATTGCAATCCACCATCAGCCATGGAACTTCAGGTGATTCTGGATCAATCACTCTTCTTATTATGCCCAACCTCATGGTTGACGTGGTGAGAACATGAAAGCAGACTCCCCTATCTCCATCTCTCATGAAATCAACTTTCATCTTCTTGGGGGGGGGGGGGGCAAAGTTTTCTGGAATACCCAGACAACTTGAAGCATCTGCAAAAGATGTGAGTGAATTCAAAATCATATATGAAAGTGCTTCCTGTGTTGTAGGTAGTGTGTGAATCTAGCTTCTATTTTCCACCAAAAGAGAATAAATATTATTGCACTTACAAATTAATATTTCTAGCATAGCAGCAGGAAACACTTGTTATAAGCAACATCAAGTTGGAAGGATATTTAATTTTCCAATCTGGTGCTATTTGATTATCAAGCCACACAGTTTCTTTGGTATTTGTAGCTGAACTCATTGAGATAGAATTTGCTCCACATGTGATTGCTGTTAAACAATGGCCAAGCAAAACAAATGGAAAAAAAGGGGGGGGGATCAAAGCTGAGCAAAGAGTTCGGTTTTCAATGTGCTGGCATTCAGATTTTACATATGTCTGAAGTGGTGTAGGGTTTTCTGCCTAAGCAGAGGGTTGGACTAGAAGACCTTCAAGGTCCCTTCCAACTCTGTTATTCTATTCTATATCCAGAACATCTTACTGTTCAGCTATGGTACTGTTGTTGCTACAACCTGGGTAACATAATAGTTAGGCTTCGGAAGCTAAACAGGGATGGGCTTGATTAGTACTTGGATGGGAGATGATCAGGATTTTCCATAACTATAGTCCAAACCTGGAAGTGGAAAAAACATTAAGGAGAAGAATTACTGTACAGTGTTACCACTTCCCTATTACTACTAAGAAAGCTACAAAATTGTATGTTCATGAAACCAGCAGCAGTTTCAAATAAGACTTTATTTATATTAAATCTTTACTTACCTAAAACTGGCATATTGGAAAGTGCAATGTAGCTGGGATGGTGAATAATGCTGATATTAAAAGTAGCTTTCATTGCAGGTTCATCAAAACACGGGTAAACATGTCTTGCGGCTGTTGGTTGTAGCTGTGAAACAATAATCCACCTAATTTGAATACAAATAGAAATCATTTGAATCATTTTAAAACAGTCGTACAAGCAAAACCAGACATTTACATAGATACCTTCAAGGTGATGCTGCTCTAATCCAACACAATAGCCAATGAAGTTATAAAGACATAGCCTTAAATCTTAAATGATTTTAAAATGATCTTAAAATGATACATGGGACATTAACATCACAATATGCAAGAAACTTACAGATTGCCATCCATACCTACTTACTTCCACCTTCCATTCAGCACAAATCACCTAATCTACCATCTATAATCAACCTTTACACTACAACCACATTTGTTCTGAATCACTTAACCCAGATGATCAATGATGAAATTAAATCAAGCATTCAATAGACCAAGTCACCCACCATCAAGTCCAATAGACAAAACAATCAAGCCAGATCATTCCCAGGGAGGAGATAGCAATAGCACGTAGACTTATATACCACTTCATAGAGCTTTACAACCTTCTCTAAGCGGTTTTTGCAGAATCAGGATATTGTCCCCAACAATCTGGACCCTCATTTCACCAACCTTGGAAGGATGGGAGGCTGAGTCAACCTTGATATTAAAAGACAGATCAAAGAAACAGAACAGCAAAACACCACTGATTATAACTCCAGGCATTGAAGTGCATGATTAAGCTACAGGCAATACTGAAAGCTTTCTTAGGCAATGGGTGGCAGGACCGTGCTTGAAGCAGAATCTCGGAAGCAACAAGGAACAACAGGAGAATGATACCAGGGTGGGAACCAAAGACTGCAAGAAACCCAGATATCTAATTTGCCCCTATATCTACACCAACAGCATAATCACAGTCCCAGCAACCATATACACAAGGTTAGAGGTTTCTTCATATTTTCTTCCTCCAATGTGATACATTGCTATCATCTGCCAGCAATGTTCCTCTAGATTCAACATAAGACAAACAGACCAGATTTTGCACAAAAGATCTAATGAAAGAAAAATTGGAATATTTCAACTTTCCAGGATACTTCATAGCAGATCTCAAAGTCTAGAAAAGTGAGTCTTTAACAATATTGTTAAGCAAGAAATTCAAAAGGTATGGGAGTTCAGGATATCTCAGAAGGTCTCAACAAACACAATGGATATTTTTACACAATTATTAATTGATAAGGTATTTGTAATCTGTCTCACATATACCCTGCATATGCTTAACCAACCTATTTTCCCTTCTGTTCCCTTAATTCCCCACTTCACCTCAAATGAATCCTAATCTAGCTATTCTGTGTATGTGATGAAGTGAACAGCAGGTCACAAAGGCTTATGCCTTTTTAATAGAAAGCATTAGTCAGAAATGATGCTACTGGATTTCCAAAATTTTGTCATCCTAGACCAATATAGCTCTTCTCCTACAATCCCCCAAAATAAGATACACATATACTTAAGATCTTTTGAGGTATGAAAGAAAGCAATATTAGATTATTCTAATAATTATGGAATGCATTTCTTCACTGCTACAAATAATGCCACTGTCTGAGGCTTACACAGTAGAAAATTTGAAAGAGCCACGATAAATTTAAAAACATAAAACAAAACTTTATAACAGTGAAATAAGAAAAAATAAATAAAACAGCATGGCCCTGAGCAGGTTAAAATTTCTTTGAATCAGCTCCATTATCTATATCTTCCTCTGGGATTTCATTGATTGATGAATGGTGGCCACTAGAAGTATTTATTCATATATGATCCAGTAGCTTGGAGCGATTCAGGATGGAGCAGGTAGTTGTGTAAGTATAGTTTATTGGTCAAAACTATAAATAACTATAAACACAGGGCAATAGTATAGGTACAATATATTTCAATGATGGGAACCAGGTAAGGTTTAAATCAGAGGTGTATTCAGCCAGTTCTCTCCGGTTTGGGCGAACTGGTAGCGGCGGCTGCAGGAGGCACCAATCCACCCCGACATAATGCATGAGCTCTGTGCATGCGAAGAAGGCACTGCGCATGTGCAGACACAGTGCGTACAAGTGAAGCAAGTGTGAGCGCACTCTTACATTTGTGAACAGGTAGGAAAGGTAAGTGAATCCCACCACTGATTTAAATGTTATACAAAACAAAGGTCCTTTTATATAGACTTTTACCTGTTGTATCAGAAACCATGAATCCACAAAGACCCTCAAATCATAACTCTATTCCTTCAGGGGTGCTGCCTTCCTGCTTCTCTTTCTGCCTATCTAGAGTAGGAAATCTCATAGGAATTGATGGAGAAAACTGGTGGTCAAACAGTGCATCTAACTTGGCACTCAGCTTCAGTCTGTTCTATTCTGTCCTGGTTGGAGATGTGAATGCACCTTCTCCCCCGACTTGCCACTTCAAGTCTAATTTACCACCCAAAGAAATGAACATGTTCCATACAAAGGTTTCATACTCCATAATTTTGAAGACTCTAATGGCAGATGGCATGAAACATTATGCAAGTAAAGTCCCAGGGCAGTTACCATCCAGGATGCTAAAACACTATAACATACAATGCACATGCCATTGTATTTGGCATTATGAATGCTATTTTTCAAAGCATATTTGTTAGCTCCTCGCGTAAGTAAAATTCTTCTAAAGAAATGAAGAATCCTTCTTGGTTTCAGAAATGCTACTTCTCTTTAGATGAATGGAAAGCTGAGGTGCTTTAAAGCATATGGATTCAGGCTAAAAATACCTATTTGTTTTGTTTAGGTCCAAATCCTCACTTTTCAATCTTAATTCCAATACAAAAAAATGGGAAAATGTAATCAAGGACAAAAGTTTTTAAATATATATATATACATATCCAGTCTTTTAAACACGCCCCCGTTTTTCATTCTTATTTTTACTTTCTCTTTAGTCATAAATTACACACACACATACACACACACAACTTTATGGGTGGAAATTTGCCAAAGAAAGGTGTACACCGATTGCAACTCTTTATTCTTTCCACCACCACCACTGACCAATAAAAAAGATTCTTTGGGGTTGAGAGGTGGGAAAGCTAAGGGATCTGATTCATGAACAAGATTTGGAGAAGCTTCATGTTAAACAAAGTTAAAAAAAAGTTATTTTGCTATTGTAAAACCAAGACCACACCTCACAACAAGACAGACCAGCGGAGGGTTCCATTGTTAAAGGGGAGGATGGAACATGAAGATAAGCAGGCGACTGGAGTGCTGGATTAGCACGGAATGCCTGCGGTTTCTCAATTTATTAAGAAAGTTTCCTCATTGAGGCTGCCCCCCCCCCCCACCAATCTGTATGTGAAGAGATTAGGGCTTCCTCATGGTTTTTGCTGCAACAGCATTAAAAGGGATTTGGGGGCAGCAGAAACTTCACTGTTCTTGCAGCACTCAAGCTGATCTTATTTTATCTGTGCAAGTGGGAAAGCCAGGGAGGAGGGAGAGAGAATTTGTAGCCTCAATTCATTATTTGTCCACTACAATATATTCCACATGCCTTATGGTTCGTGCTATAGTTGCAACTTACCCAGTTTTAAATGTACTTTAATGGGCTGCCTGACAATTTCGCATATAGGAAGTTACTTGTATTCATGTGGAGTTTGAAGCTTTACGTAGTAATGCATGGGGGGTTCACTGATTAAATTACAGTAGAAAAGACAGGTCAGTGAACTATAAATCATATTTTACATGCCCCACACCATGACGATTATATTTTACATGGTTAAGCTCTTTTCAGAGCAGCTTTAAGTTTATAAGTATTATGCTTTAAATATTATGCTGAATGTTCCCAGGCAGGAAACTCCCATGCTGTTTTTGATTTTGGTGTAACATTGTATAAACCCAGAAAGTGTAGTTGGTAAACCATGATTTATGAGAGGAGTGGGTAAGCTGTAGCCCTGGAAACCACCACAACCCATCCTACTCTGACTGTTGAAAAGTAAAGGTACAAATTCCCACCAACTTGAGGTAGGCAACATCATCAAACTGTGGTGTAGACAAGCTCATTCATATTCTCTCCCTCCCTCTCTCCCTCCCTTCCTCCCTCCCTCTTCTTCTTTCTCCCCTTTTCCTTCTTTCTTTCTAAGGAATTCCCAAAAGTTCCTTCAAAACACCAACTCCTTTTCCACGTACTATATGCAGTGTTATTTGAACTATATTGTGGTTCTCAGTTTCAGGGAGGGAAATATTAGTGCAGGTAGTCCTCCCTAAACTGCCACATTTGGGACCAGCAAGTCCATTGCTTGGTGACATGATTCTTAAGTGAAACATCGCCTGAACATAACTTGCAATTTTACTGACAGCGTCTTCATTGATTTTACTTCTGAGAAGTTGTGAAGGTCCCAAATGGCAATCATGACTGCAAGATGCTGCAATGGTGCTAAATGCCTGCCAGCTGTGAAGCATTCAAAGCTCAATCACTATGGAAATGCTGCAACAATTGTTACTTTTTCAGCACCATCACAAACAGTTGTCAAACAGGACAAACAGGACAGTTGTTAAATAGAGAGTACCTGTATTACCTTTGGTTGCAAAAAAGTTACTCAGTTCTATTTTATGTATTAGCACTATGGTACATAGGAATCCAGTCAACTGCAGATTAGTCAACACACCATGCTCAATGCATTAGTACTTAGCAGAATATATGAGCCCCACCTATAATACTTCACAATTTCTATTTGTTCAAGGAAGTAAAGGATGAGTCTGGTCCAACCTAGTGTTTTCCAGATGTGCCAGATGACAATTCCAGGAAAGAATAACCACACAAGTCAGAGAGAGCGCCAGGATAGGAAAGAGTGGATTCGTTATTAGCATGTTTCAAAACACGCTGCTATTTGAACAGCAAACATACTGCCAAATGAGGAGAGGAGTTGACCTTAGGTCTCACTTGTTCAGAAGATAAAACAACATGGATTGTCAAGGGCATTACAGAAGAAGAAAGCCGATTTATTTTAATTTCAACAAGTTATCAAATAAAAAGAATGCTCGGCTTGTGCAAAAAATAACAAACATCTTGACTACAGATTTGGTGCATCTTGCAAAGTGTTACCACTTATTCTGGTCTCCTTTCCTACTAACAGGTCCATCCCAGATTATAATTTGCTATAACATCTCTTGTCTTTTGAAACATTCTATGGGAGATTATTCTGAAATGTTATCTGCAATGTTTGCAGTCTCTCTCTCTCTCTCTCTCTCTCTCTCTCTCTCTCTCTCTCAGCACAAACCACTTCTTAGATTGTGGTTGTGGGGAAACTAAGAGGAGGAAGGAATATTAGATAAGTTCTTCACCTTGAGTTCCTTATAAAGTAATGAAGACAGGATAAAAATCTAACAAAATAAATAAATTATTTGTGAGAATGAAGGAGAAGGAGTGCTGACTGCCTTGTCACATACCTTACACTACTGAATTTATTTCATTTTTATCCACTTTATTTTTCTCTACTTTTTGGTTTATTCTTCAATGATGGCATAGCCTGTAAAATTTGTACCTGTATCACATGCCAGGTTATGTGAGAAAACATCAAGTAAATTCATACATGCGACTGACAGGCATTGACAGCAGAAATCAGTAAGCAGCTACATTAGGACAGAAAGGTGGGGACACCAGGGTGCAAAAAGCAAAGGATCTTGGGGAGAAGAGAGCTGAGAGATCCACCTTTCATCCTACTGGCAACCTAGTCAACTACAGAAAGGTAGGAAAGTTATCCATGCCTCTTTGGTGGGCTCTTCCCATTGGAAAGTTTGAGGTTGTTTCAAACGGACAGTGCAAAAATTGCCCCAGCTCTACAATACTGATGACCTTTTTGATGATCTTTCACTTTTTATGTAGAGAAGTATTGACAGGATTTAAAAAGCAAATTCAAGCAGGCCCATTTTTCCATTTAATCAATTTTGACAAACATCTCCCCAACTAACAATCACAACTCACAATAAAATACTTGAGGGGCTCCTACAAAAATGAAGGAGTCAACCTATTTTCCAAAGCACCAGAATGCACAACAAAAACAATGCATGTTAACTAACGAAAGAAAGAACCTAGGACTAAGGAGAAATTTCCTAAGGGTGAGACCAAACCACCAGTGCAATAGCTTGCCTTCAGAAGTTGTGGGTGCTCCATCATTAAAGGTTTTCAAAAGGAAATGAGACAACTATTTGTCTGAAATGATATAGAGTCTCCGGCTGGAACAGGGAGTCAAACTAGAAGACCCCTGAGGTCCCTTCCAACTCTATTATTCTATGTTCTCTACATTCTAAATTGGGTGCTTCACAGCAAAATCAATACAACTGGCTGGACCACACATACATTAAATTCAGGGCCCCTATGATCAAGCTGCACCATTGTCCCATCCTGTATCTTTTTCTCCCAGGAAGGAACAGAAAGTAGCCAACTATGCAGCAGTTATAAAAGATCTTGGGCAACTCCAGGGAGTATCAGCTGATCACAGAAGTGTTACTTAATACCCTTTATAATTTAAAAACATGTAATAATCTGGGTCAATCAGCTGGATGCATTGTCATCGAAATTCATTTCCTTCTATTTTGGAAGCAGAGCATCCTTTTTATCTTATATTTATCTGCATGATGATAATGGTATGGTGGCCTTAGAATAGCTCCCTAGATGTGCATTGTGCCTTTCTTTCCTCGGATAGGATTCCACGTAGTGACATCTCATCATCCCTATTAAGTCCTGTCATCATCAGCCCTAATAAGGGTGCCAAGCGGCATCCTTGAGAATAAAACCTACCTGTTCTCGCCTTCGTCCTTGTAGGTATTCAGGAAGAGCCCGAAGTAGTCCGGCCCCGGCTGAATCTTCCCTTGGAAGGCGAACCGCAGCTCGTAGAGGCTGCCCGCTGTCAGGTTCTCCAGCAGTTCGAGCATCAGGTACTGGTTCCCAGGGGCCGTCCACACCTCCCCCAGCGGGATGCTGCGGGTGGAGTTGTCCGCCTCCTCCAGCGGGCCCCATACTGAAGCGCCCTGGTAAGTCATCTCGGCGCTGTGCAGGAGCACCACGGACGTGGCTTCCCGGCAGCGCACCGTGATGTTCACCTGTCCCGAGTGCGTGCGGGGCTCGGGCAGGCCGGGCGCCAGGTGAGGCCAGAGCAGGAGCGAGTAGTGGATGGGCGCGACCTGCCGGGGCAAGCGTTGCTGGTCCCAAGGTCCCGGGGGCCGCGCAGTGGGCTCCGCGCTGACGTTGGCCCAGGGCGTCGTCGCAACACTTGGAGTCAGCCCCTCGGATTCTTTCGGTCCCCGCGCGCAACGCCCGTAGAGGATCGCCAGCACCACGAGCGCCAGCAGCAAGGCGGCCGGGAGCAGCGCCAGCAGCAGCGCGGATTTCTTGCCCAGGTAGAAGCCCGAGCGCAATTTGGCGCTCATATCGACGCCCGGCTTTCCTCTCCGCGAAAGGGGGGGGGGCGAAGAGCTGCTCCTGAAGACTGGGGTGGAGGGCTAAATAAAAGCAGGAGGGGGAAGGAAGAGGGGTAGAGGTGGGGCGCCCCGTTTGCGAAACAGCCGAGAAGTGGGGCGGGCGCCTCGGGGCCTCTTTAGTAACTCAGGACCGAAGGTATCGGCGATCACACTTGGGCTAATAAAGTATCCAGTTCGGTGCAGTTCAAGACGAAAGCAGACTCCCGAAATGGCCAGCCGAAAGGCTGCATCCCGCTTCAAGCCCGAGATCCGCTGGAAGCAGGGCGCTCTTGGCTAAGCGCTCAACGCCCCAAGTCCTGCCGCGCCCATAGTCCCATCCCAACCTCTCTGTAGTACCAACCCTCCCCACACCCCCGGTCCCCGGCTATCCTATTTCTCCGGAAGACCGGGGAAGCCTTGGGATTGCTTTCCTCGGCTTGTGACCCAGCAGCGGCGGGGGAGGCTTGTCATCGGCCATCCTTCCTTTCCTTTGGAAGAACGACGCCCTAAACTGGAGGGCGAAGTGGGCGGACGCGAGTAGAGAATGTACTTAACGGGTCAGCTGGGAGTCTTCACAGAAAGAGAAAGAGATGCTGGAGAAGTTTTGGTCCATGGAGGTCTAAACTAAACCAGCTCTTCGGCACATAAGACAGCTTCTGTAACCCAAACATTTGAGAACTTCTGCTTTATGGGGTAGCAGTGGTAAAACAAAAATCCAAAAACTTTGAATGAAGAAAGCTTATCAAGAAGAAGTGAAGTATTTTCAAAAAATGCTTCATAACTGCAAGAGAAGTTCACAAGTCTTAAAGTTCCCAAGTTTGGACACCCCTGTGCTAGAGAAATTGAGGACGTGATATGAAAAAGAACATGAGAACAATGATCTCTAGAATAGCTTTCTCCAACTAAATGCCTGATGGATTGCTATTTTTATCATATGTAGCAGACAGGGCCTCTGAACCCTGGTAAGAGAATTATGTTGCTGAAAAGCAAACAAACATTACTTGGGTCTTCCTTTTTTCAATCTGTCTCCAGAGCAGTGTCCTTGTTTTGCTTCATTATGCCCATGCTCCACCTACATTGGACTGTTTGTACATTCCACATCTTTAATTTAAACCTTCAGAACTCTACCATATCTCATAGTTTCCTAGGGGGTCATTTTGACTATCAATATTGGAAATAAAGGAGAAAGTGCTATGGGATTTCCAGGGAATTTTTAATTGAAAGCTTCTTTTTTTGTCTTTTTTCTAAATTAGTTATATTTGATTTTATTTGCCTTAAATTTAATAAATAAATGAAGGAAAACTTATGCTACAGTACTATCACTCTATTTCTTTATACTCGGACGCAATCAAACTGTAAACATTGATTCAATAGAAATGAAATGCCTTATGTTTAGCAAGCCATTCTAACAGTGAAGTGGCGCTATACAACTACACAATTTCCCTAATGGCTCATTTTAGTTGAACTCCACCTTTTTTTTTTTAATGCATCCAATTGGGTATTGTGCTCAAAAATAACCTCTTTTTGCTTTTACTACAAGGTCTAGCGTCTGGTGAATTTTTTGAAGAAGTTTCTTGGAAGAAAAAGAGTTAAAAATATATTAATGTCCAAATAGTTTGTGCTTTACCCCAAAGTATGGCTGTTTGTCAAACTGGCAACTACTCTATTGTCTGTATTCCAGGGCCATTTTCTGGCAGAACATCCAACCTTAGTCATTCCTAAATGCTTGAGATTAAAGAGCCCTGCCCATCCAGACTAAAGGATAGTCTAGTCCAGCATTTAACATTGCACAGGGCGATTCGTATGTATCAGGAAGGTCATGCGTTTTTTAATTCTCTAAAGCTAACTTTTATATTGGTCTATAGTGTAATGACTGGAACTGTACACTATGTACTAATCATCATTGTATTATTCTAGTCCATATTATTCAACTTTTTCTTGTTTGTAACAGCAGGAGCAACATCCATCACATTTCTGAAATCCTTTCCCTATCGGTCCTTGTCTACTAAATATGTATATGTAATTTACATTTCTTTTTATTTCCGTTTAATCTTCAACATTTCCATTTGCTTATATTGAACAGCATTCCCTATTTTAAGATTAACGCAACCAGCGTGAAAAGATTATATTAGAGCTTTCACTTTATCCATGTTTATTACCCCTAACATTTATGAATAATTTAAAAAATATTGGTCCCAATATGAATCCTGAGGACTTCATTCTAAACATCTTTTCATTGAAAATCATTCACTCCTATTCCTCTAATTCCTATTCTGTTCCCATTTGTAGTTCATGAAAGCTCTGATTGGGTCAGGAATCTTTGTTGAAGGATTTGGAAACTATAAGTACAATGCCTAATATTGTATTTTAGCTGTATATTTAAACATTATGAGAAATCCAGATCATATTGGGATTCCTTTAATGTTTTCCAAGGTGTCTTCACATTGCAACTTGGATGATTTAAAGAAACCAGGAGAGATCCAAGACTAAAGTCAACACATCAATCCAAAAGGGCTTAAAACACCCAGTAAAAATCTCAGTTTATGGAGTGGTTGAATGCTTTGAGACCCAAATACTACACAATGGGGTGAGATCCAGTCCTTGTCACAGCTTCTGCCTACCTAGCAGTTCGAAGCATGCAAATACGAATAGATAAATAAGTACCACTTCAATGGGAAGGTAACAGTGTTTCATGTTCCTTTGGCACATAGTCATGCTGGTGACATCACCATGGAAATATCTTTGGACAATGCTGGGTCCGTCAACTAAGAAACTGAGATGAACACTGCTGCCTCGAGTCAGACAGACCAGATAGGAGAAATCTTTATCTTTATCTATCAGTGACATAGGGAACTTACATTTAACAGTGGCAGCATTATGTGGGAGCTGAGGTTTTGGAGGGCCCACATCTTGAAGTAGTAAAGTTGAAGACACCAAGACACCAACTTGCAATTTTGCTTAATTACCATGCATAAACCAATCAATTAAACATTTGCAATGAGTTGTTTACACTATTTATGTTGCCTGAAGATGGAAAAAATAGCTCTTTACTTATGCAAATAATGTACTTTGATGAGCAAATAATTCATATAGACTTTGAAGGATCATTTATGGCACATCATTTTTAGTTGTGGTGGATATAAGTTCAGACTGATCAGAGATATTTCCAATGACCTCAGTATGCATACAACAGATGTGTTATTAAAACTCTTTGTGAGAACAGTGTTTCATAACAGTGACTATTAAAGACAATTTATAGCCGAATATTTCCAGCATTTCTGCAAAGAAATGGAATCAAACATGGAATATCAGTGCTGTAGCACCTTGCTACAAATGGATTGTCTGAAAGATCCAAAGTTTGTTCAAAGTTTTAAGAAAGTTTTGTGACCAATTTCTATGGAAAATATTGATTTAAAAAAATTGAATTTGTTTTCTACTGAATATAGCACATGCAGTACAAGAATAAATAAAAGGTTAGGCTGCTTCTTAGATCCAACATACTTTGAGAGGCCTATGGAACAAATACTGTAGCAGAAATAACTCAGAACTTCTCATACAGAAACACAACACTTCTGTACTAGACTAACTATATTAACAAAAACTAGAGTGTAAGTGAACAACCCAAACAAAGAAGGAACGCAAACTTTTATAGTGATTGCTCAAGATGACATTTGGGAATGACACATAGACCAGCTGAAAAGAACAGAGGTACACAAGATAGTTGTGACTGATATGGTCGGAGACTTAGCTGTAATTCCAGTGTTAACCCTCAGTAACATCTATCCCCAAAGTAAACTTATAGCCAATGGTTTATCCATAGCTGCCAATAAGGTTAGAAACATCAAATATTTTTATTTGTGATGATAACTTTAATTTTATTTGCATATGAAACCACCAATGTACATAAAACACATCATAATTTATTAAGATAGTGGCAAAAATTGTGAATCTAATGAACATAATTGGTTTGCTTTCAGCAACACAACACACATTTAGAATATGGTTTTGGGGAAAATGTTTTTTTAATAATTCAAACAATCCAAATAGGAATGAGTAATAATGTTCAAAATAAAATATTAAAATATTCAAGTAGCGAGGAAGGGGACGGGGAGAAAAAAAGGGGTGCCTACCCAAAATTTGTTTTAATCCTTTGTTATTTTTATTTTTTTTTAAATCTGTCTGTCCTATCTATCTATCTATCTATCTATCTATCTATCTATCTATCTATCTATCTATCTATCTATCTATCCATCCATCCATCCATCAACCTATCTATCCCTTTCCCGTTTTTAATTAATTTAATGTTTTACTTAACTAATAAAAAGTGGTATTTAAAAATAAAAAATTCAATAGTTTTTTAGATTACATGTTTTTTAACAAAAAAACTGGAAATGACTTCATTGCATTTATGAGGTTGGAAATGCAGTGGAATCAATACATTGCAATCAATAGTTTTATTCCAAATCATTTAATTTGGAAAAGAAGTTATTAAATGCATTAACTTAACTTTGAGGTTTAATATTTTTGGATGTTTGAATCCTTTTGAAGCTTATCTCTATCACATGGGAGCGGACATCAAAAAGGCTATTTCTGTACTTTACTTACAGCCAAAAAAACCTATTGTTCAGTATTGGAAAGATATACATATGGTTCCAACTATTCAGTGGTTGGCCGAATTAATACAGATAAAAGAATTATTATTGTTGTTTAAGGAAGTCTGTATGGTTAACTGGGGCTGCCTCTATTTGTAATTTTTGAAAACTCTCTAGGACAAAGGTATCCAATCATGGCATCTTTCAAGACTTTAAGACTTGCCTGGCTGGGAAATTCTGGAACTTGAAGTTCACAAGTCTTAAAATTTGCCAAAGTTGGACATTCTGCTCTAGAATTCATGGCAACAAAAAGTCTACTGCTGACTAACAACATTTGACTGATTAAAGAAAAAAGACAGCAGAAGTAACAGGAAGTCT